GATAACGCTTCCTTGGGGTAATATTCAATTTAAAAGTAAAAAGGTATTATCAAAAAAGAATAAGGGCAACAATGTCATTTTAATCATTTCGTCTCATTCAGAAAAGAAAGGCAAAACCCCTTCTTAAGCCTCCAAACTTACCCAAAAATAGCAATTAAGCCCTTAAACTAAAAATAAAGCAAATGCATCCTCTAACTCCACTAACAATGCAAATAAACCCTTCTCACAAATGAGTCAAATGGTATTTCATATTTACTATCACCTTGAAAGTATAAACATCCATGAATGAGAAGGTTTTATTTGTATCATTAGTGGAGTTAAAGTTAAAGGGCTTATCTGCTTAATTTTTAGTTTAAGGTTTTAAATGATATTTTTGGGTAAGTTTGAGGGCTTAAGGTGGGTTTTTGCCGAAAAGAAAAGTAAAATAAAGTGAGTGTGTGGAAAGTATTTGTACCGGAAAATCCAAATCAGACTCGCTGAATTCACAAACTGACACTCAGAAAAAAAGTTGATTCTTCGTTATCAATAATAACTGAGATCGGAGAATCCATTCCGTCATCGTCATCGTCGCCTTCTCCTTTGGTTTTCGCATTCCTCAATCTGTCATTTTTGAAGAATTCTTCTTCGCTACTAATCCAATGAGATTGAGGTCTTGAGAATCTGGAATCCGGAATCTCGTCAGCGGATATGGCCGGTTCTTCTCAGAACTGTGAAATGAAGATGGAAGGTTGGTTGTATATTATCCGATCGAATCGGTTTGGCTTACAGTACTCAAGAAAGCGCTACTTCCTTCTCGAAGGTCACCTTCTCAAGATTTTCAAGTCGATGCCTGCTTCGAATCTAGAGGTTTTCTGCTTTTTTTTTTTCTTTCTTTTCACTCTTCTGATTGATTTCCTGTTTGGATTAGTTTCAACGACGATTTAGTTTCAGTTATGAATCGATGTATGTGAGGAGTTTCCTTTTTCTTCTCCTCCTCGTTTCTATTTTTTGATTTTGCTTTCTTATTTGCCAAGTAACGTCTCTTCTGAGGTTGATCGGTTGTTTTAACGACTCTTGGAAGATATGGTAGAGCATTAATTGTAGATGCTAAATGCAATTAGAAGTTTTCTTTTGTGATTGATCGTAGTAATTTCGTTATAGTTTGGTGGATCGATCTGCTTGTTAAAGTTCATGGAACAGATTTGTGCTTCTTGCTATTTGATTATGCAATTGTAATGATTTATTGTTTTGATTTCGTTCTATAGAAGATTTTGGAGACATTATTTCTTGTTTAGCATGCGTATATATTCAAACGGTCAAAGTACGAGCGTCTTTACTTGTTTTAGTATCTTCATTCACTGCCATATAGGTAAGAAAGTATCCATGCTAACATTCATTTTGTGTAGCAATTTCATTTTATTGATGGTTTTGTTAACAGGTTTGACAATTTTATCAGGTATAGAAACTAAAAAAAATATATAAAAAATAAAAAATTTATTGTTTTGTTTTGCCTGTCAGGAACCTGCTAGAAGTGTAACTATAGATTCCTGTATTCGGGTCACAGACAATGGGAGGGAGAGCATACATAGGAAAGTATGTGAGCTACTTATTTATATTCTGCAGTTGATGTTTACTGATCAGTTTGTTTTATTTGTCCCCTTGCGCTGAGAGTTCTTTTTTAACTTATAGGTGTTCTTCATATTTACACTTTACAACAGTTCCAATCACAATGACCAGCTTAAGGTAAGACAACTGTTTCATAAGAATATTGATGGTGTATATCAAAAGATCCTTGACATATAAGTTATGAAATCTAAATGCTGTAGCTAGGAGCAAGCAGTCCTGAAGAAGCAGCTAAATGGATTCATTCCTTTCAAGAAGCTGCTTTAAAGGTGAGAAATTGCTCCATCCTGGTTAATTTACAGTGTAAATTGTCTTTTTAAGGTGGAACTAAGGACCCTTTTTCTGTCTGTACTCTGTAGGATGGTCCAGACCCAGGACATCATATTGTTGGTTGTTCCAACGGCGGATGGCAGTCCTTTAGGTGCGGTGATAAATTGTTTTGTACTAATGCAACATGCACTTAAGTTTTAAGTTTTTAACATCTAGCCTTTTGTTATCCTTTCACCCGCACTTTTTTAGTCATTGTGGTTTCCTTGAAAGATAAGATTGTTTTGTGCTTTTTTCGTTGCTTGGTGTTCTCTTTATATTTATTATTTATGCCATCTTACTACATCTCAGTTACTTAAAAGTCTTCATGCACACAGATCAAGTGATTCAAGAGTGTCATATCACCATAATTCTATAGACTGGACTCTTTCTTCAGCCACACACATGGATCAGGTGACCTCTGATGTCATTGCTCCTTCACCTTGGACAATCTTTGGTTGTCAAAATGGCAAGTATAAAAATCATTGTTATGAATTATGAGATAGCTATAGCTGCATATCTAAAATCATTGCTGCAACACAGGTCTTAGGCTGTTCAAAGAAGCAAAAGATAGGGATTCTCATGGAAAGGTTGGTAGCTTTTTGATCTGGCTGTCAATGAATTTACATATTGTTTGTTTTTAAATGATGTTCTTTCTTCACCTTGGCAGTGGGATGATCATCCTGCAATCATGGCTGTTGGTGTGGTTGATGGAACTTCAGAAGCCATTTTCCAAACGCTTATGTCTCTTGGACCCTCAAGATCTGAGTAAGTGGTGCTGACTGCTAAGTATCTTATGTTATATCTTCTTTAAAGAAGCTTTCATATCATATTAAGACATCTGCCTACTTCAGTCTACCATGATGAATTTGACATCTGGATTTGGGTGCCCATTTTTGAGGCATTTGTCAACCTCCAAGTCCCCAGTGAATTCTTGACTACTATCTAGTGTTATCCTTAGGTTATACAGAATTTTTTTCACTAGATGGCATACCTTTTATTCCAAGTGCATAGTGAATTCTTGATTACTATCTGTTCCTCTAATTTACTTTAAACTGAAAGTAACTTTTGATATTTTCTTGCAGATGGGACTTCTGTTTCTACAAGGGTAGTGTGGTTGAACATCTTGATGGTCATACAGATATTATTCACAAACAGCTGTATAGTGATTGGTTACCTTGGTCAGATCAGCAAAATCTAAAATTTAATCATTATGTTTTATCATGCCATGTTTAATAATTTCTATTAATTTCTTCTCTCTGATTCTTTATACTTTGCAGGGGAATGAAAAGGAGAGATCTTTTGTTGCGGCGTTATTGGAGAAGGGAAGATGATGGAACATATGGTATAGTGATTTCTTTAAAGAAATTCTTCAAAATTTTATGTGCAAGCAACAAGTTACAAAGGATTTGTTTTTATTACATACTAACTTGATTCACTTCTTTCCTTCACAGTTATCCTATATCACTCAGTATTTCACAAGAAGTGTCCACCACAGACGGGCTATGTCCGTGCCTGCCTTAAAAGTAATGTATGCCAGAGAATTATAAGCAACTTCCCATATCTTGTGTGCATGCTGTCATAAATTGCCATATATAACAAACATATCAGCTGTTGATTTCTTGAGTTTGTGATATTGAAGAACTTTGTACAGTGACTCAATCTCTCTAACATTTGTTTATGCAAAGTATATGGTATGAGTGTTTGGATGGTCTTGTGGGCTGTCTATGTAGAAAATAGGATCTGCTACACAATTTTATTGATTCCTTAGGCAGTCAAATTGCTTCAGCATGATTCTATCAATTTCTCCATCATCAGGATCTACCTTGTCCAGATTTTGGGAACATGATGTGTCCTGTTTCTGTGGAAAAGAAGGGTGGGGGGCAGGGATCTATAGGAAGTTACTGTAAGTGCTTAATGTTTTGCACCTTCTGCAGGTGGTGGTTATGTTATATCTCCAACAAAAGATGGAAAACAATCTGTTGTAAAGCATATGCTTGCTATTGATTGGAAATTCTGGAAATCTTATCTGCGAACTGCTTCTGCCCGGTCCATCACAATTCGGATGCTGGAGAGAGTTGCTGGTATCAACTTGTTACGTACACATTTGTCTTAATTTACTTGTATATCTTGTTCCTTTCTTAATTGTTATAATATCTTCTGGGATATTAATTGCTGGGAATCTGTATTTTGTAACACAGCCTTGAGGGAGTTATTTAAAGCAAAAGAAGGAGATTATCCTTCTACTGATCTTTCATCAGGAGAGCTGACAAGAAATGCTAGGTTGCTTGCCTCTGACAAGGACCATGCGGTTGATATTCAAGCACAAATGGAGCCTGGGAAGACTAAGGAAAATATAAGTGAAGGAGTAGAAAGGGCACCTTCAGAACGCTCGAGTCTGGTGGGCCTTAATGATTGTGTTGATGAGTTTTTTGATGTTCCAGAGCCATCAGATAATGATCAATCAGAAGATGGATGGAGTTCTGATTCTTCTTCAGAAATGCATCCTCAGGTACCAGAAGTTTCTGAAGTAATTCTTGTTCTTTTCATGTGGAAGGAACTTGGAGTTGATAGGAAAGCCATTTTGCACTATATCAACCATCTGAGGGACTTAATCCATGCATGTAGAACTTTTAAATTTGTAATTAATCATCTAGCTGCGTAGGGTTCAATTTCCATCTGTTAGACACTGGTAACCCAATGCAGTCATGAAGCATATTTTTGTGGTAGGAGAGTATTATTACCTTGGGCACTTGGTAGAGTGGCCCCATCCTCTGCCTGACCTTGCCTCTTATTTTGTGTGGGTAAGCTTGTGGGTAAATGTATACTCTTTAGTCTATCTTTGCTTTAATGATATGAAGATGTTCACAGCCATACCCCCACTTTTGCAAAAATAGAGCGCTTGACCCACTACAATTTTCTTCATGGTAGTTATTCATTTCTTCTTCTTGTGTTGTCTTGCATTGTATGAACAAATGAGATTGACATTTTCTGTATTCCCTGCTCTTTTCCCCTCACTTGACTCCTATATGAATTTGAGAGAGTTGCAGGATACCCGTCATCCAAGGTTGTCGACTGCGGCTGTTTTTGTAAAAAAATTGCACGATCTTGCAGGTGATCTTTATTTGGATGATCACAATTCAGCTTACCTCTTCAATTGCAGGTGATTTACTAATGCCTTTAATATTTGTAAATGTTGCAGTTCAAAAGAGGGGTTATGTGGACTTACAAGAGATGACAAGGGAAGATGGTGTATCTTTCTGCTATGGCAACACTCTTCCAAAAGATCCAACTTGCTCTTTGCCTTGCAGTTGGACAACAACAGACCCCGCAACATTTTTAATTCGTGGAAAGAGTTATCTTGAAGACCGGAAGAAGGTATGGGCAGCAATATTTTAGTGAGGATAAGCTGAAGAGCTCATCTAGTCTTTTCAATAATAGTTTAAAAGGATACCAGATTGCATGACCCTGTAATGAACTATCATGCTTTAATGATATATGACCCATATGAATGGATTTTTATATTTGTTCTTCAACGCTTGCCTGCAGCCTACCCTGTCTTAGACACCAATCAAATGTAGGCTTTCAACTTTCCAAACCCCAACTAAGTTGAAGCCTATAATATTCTGAAAACTATTGTTTGTTTGCAAGACTGGTTGAATAGGCTAAATACTGTTGTCCGCTGCTGGTAGTTTGTTATGCAGGAAGATGCTTCTAAATTTTATTTTCCTGTTAATCACTTTTGAAAAAAAAGGCCCACTTTTAGTTTTCCCATGTTAAGACTTGAGACCCATGCTAGAGTTCATGTTTTATATATTTACTCTGCCTCTTGTTTCCTTTTTCAGGTAAAGGCGAAAGGTACTTTAATGCAAATGGTTGCTGCAGATTGGCTAAGATCTGACAAGCGGGAAGATGATCTTGGAGGTCGTCCTGGGGGCATTGTTCAGGTTTTTCTTTATGCATATTCTGTTTATTTGTCACTAAGACTCCTTATCATTAATTAATCACTTTTTTGGTAAAATAATCACTTTTTTGGGGTGCCTATTGCATTCGCCACATATCAAACTTTGATTGAAAAGAAATTTTACTGTTGCCTTGCAGAAATATGCTGCACAGGGTGGACCAGAGTTCTTCTTCATTATAAACATACAGGTTGAATTTGGGTTTTTTACACTCATGCTGATTCAAACGCCTTTCCTACTCATTCTGAGAATAGAAAATGATCAAAACATTTTAATGAAATAGGTTCCAGGCTCAACTACATATAGTCTAGCCCTGTATTATATGATGAATACTCCTGTGGAGGATTCGCCATTGCTAGAGAGCTTTATCAAGGGAGATGATGCTTACAGAAATTCAAGGTTCAAGCTTATTCCATACATATCCAAGGTTAGTGAATCCAGAAATTTTGCAATTTGGCTGGTTTGGAACCTAAGGGCTTACTTGTTTGGAAGTATACTGCCTAACAATAGGTTCTTTAAGACAGAAAACAATTTGCATAACTTCATTCAAGACTAGCATGTAAAACCATATCTTTGTTTCTTTACCATAAAACCCATTCTTATCATGTCCATTGCAGGCTCTTATAGTTGACTTTTGTTTTATTAGGGCTCATGGATAGTTAAGCAGAGTGTAGGGAAGAAAGCCTGCCTCATTGGTCAAGCACTGGAAATCAATTATTTCCATGGGAAGAACTACTTGGAGGTAATTTTCCACATGAAAGCACTTATTAGTCACATGGGTTTTCAAAAATATCTAAATGCATGCCTGGATAGTGTTTTATATGCATGGGTGCATATATACCTGTACTTTTTTAACCATTCATTTCATGAAACATCTGAAATAATGTGGTTAAGAGGACTGGTTCTGCTATGACACCATGCAAAATTTTGCTTAGATGTGATATACAGCAGCTCTGTAGCAGAACAAAGTGGAAAGGCACTGACTACTGAACCATGTGACAAACTCTAATGAATTCAAATTCTGAATCATTGACCGTAATTTTTATGTAAAGATTTGATGATTCTGAAACGCTTTAACTGTCATTTCAGCTTGGGATTGATATTGGGTCGTCTACGGTTGCAAGAGGTGTTGTCAGTCTCGTTCTCGGTTATCTCAACAATCTGGTTATCGAAATGGCGTTCTTGATACAGGTAGGCATTACAAACCAAAATGAAGTTGAAAAAGGGAAACACAGGTCTTGAATTTTTTGCAACTAGGATTATTCTTAATTTTCAGAAAAATGAAAATTTGGATCGAAAATTAAGGATGTATTTAGAATCTTACTTTTCTTGTTGGTCCTACTGTACTGTTGAGTGATCACTGTCACTTTTTGGTTGCACAGGCAAATACAGAAGAGGAACTCCCAGAGTACCTTCTGGGAACGTGCCGGCTTAACCACCTGGATGCATCAAAATCTGTACTAGTGAAACCATGGTCAAATTCACACGTTCATATTGGAATCAATTCTCAAGGCTGAACAGTTGCAAACAAGTGAAGATTTGTTAGGTCTGCTTCTATTCCTGTATTCAATCAAAACTGGAATGAGCTTTTTCATATATCATTATGGTGTTTTACTTGACAGATAATCAAAATTCATAGGATTGATAGGACTTATAATGGCGTTAATTTTTCAGTTGCTGCTCAATGTAGACTGCTATATAAAAAAATCACCAATCTTAGTTTCGAGTTTGAATTTCACATCCGAAGTTAGGGTATTTATTGCAGAGAACAAAATCTCATATGAAAAATCCTTTTAGATTGTATTAAGAAAGAAATAAGCAATTATAGTATATATATAATCATTTATGTACCTTTTGTAATCAATCATGTATAATTACTTGTATTTGTGTTTCGTAACCCGATGGTTGTATATCTTATCCTAAGATGCACTCCAGCCTTAGGATCGTGGTTGGGGTTCGGATCCTCATTCCCTAAAATTATAATTTGTTAAAGGTTAAATGCTAATTTTAGTTTTTCACCTTAATATTTTGCACAATTTTCATTCTTCATCTTCTTTTTTTTTTTTGCACTTTTTTTGTCCCTTAACTTTGAAAAATACACTTTTTAGTCTTTTGTCAGTTAATCTATTAATTTTATCTAAGTCTGTATATTTTTAATCCTTCAATTTTTAATATATGTACATCTTTCATTCCTCAACTTTGGTTAAAAATGTGTAGATTTAGATAAATTTAATTAATTAATTAACAAAAGAATTAAAAAAATCATTTTTCATAGTTAAATGTCCAAAAAAGTACATAAAAAAAGTTAAGAAATGAAAATTATGTAAAATGTTATAGTTGAGGGATCAAAATTGATATTTAACCTCTGTTATAAAAAAGATCATGTATGATCCCTTATCTCTTTTTTAAATCAATTATATGGCAAATATAATTAGTTACTTTATATTGTGATTAGATTTACGCGTAAAAAAAATTTCAGTCAAATCAAGTTAATTTTTTTTCCCTTAGCCAATATAATATAAGGACAATTTAATGTTTTTATATTTTAATATTATATTAAGTAAAGAGTAAAATTGTCATTTTAGCATTTATTTTTTAAAAAAAATTAACAATTTTTGTTATGAAAAATTAACAATTTAATAAAACCTCAACAAAATTCTATTATAAAATTTTAAATAATTTTTAAGTTCAAGTATTATGTTCTATTTTTTTTATACGAAAAATTTAGATAAAAGAAATTAATTTTACAAAAATTAAAAATAAAGTCTTAATCTTTGATAAATCTACACCTATTCAATGCAATTAGTGCTGCGAACTGCACCTTAAGTCGAAGAACGAGACGAAGCTTGCTT